ACATTCAAATAGGCAGGGTGAGTAACACAATTCATAATAATCAATGTATAACAATCAACATGTAAATGACATCATAATCATATTCAACACATGCATATCCTTCAATATGCCTCAAAGACAACAACGTCATAATTTATACAAAAAGACTCATAAATGCAATGCAATAAGACTCAATGCATGTGGTATCAATCATCACATTTCGACGGACACTGGGCCATCAACCCTCCATAGAACCCAATCAATAGGATCGATTCTACTTGAGAATCGGAGGACATCAAAATACTTCACATCCACACAATGGGATTGAAGCCAAAGTAATCGAGGTCCTGAATCGAAGTCCGGATGCACATGAATGCATGATGCACACGTCAATAATAATCCTCATAATAACAGCATATGGTGCATCATCATTCTTCATATTCATCATCACATAAATCATCATATCTCATGTTATCACATATTTCATCAAAATCATGGTAATATCATCATAATACATCATAGAAATCATCATGTCATCATGTACACATCATCTAAAACTCACTATCATACTCGTGTCAATTCATCACAGAAATCACAGAATCAATCATCAAGGCATCGCTGCACACGATCAACATTCGCGAAACTCTGCTACATTCGCTAGGCGAGTCTAGGGCGAGTTTCTTCGCTAGACAAAACATTCTTCGCTAGGAGAGTCTGGAAACAACATGGTTCACTAGGCGAACAGTGCGATGACAACAAATTCTGCCATGCACCAGAATGGGAAATCACTCAAAAAGCCACACGATTCACTTACCCAATGCCCCCAAAACATCCCTAAATCATCCCTAAGGTCTTACGGCGATAAAGGCACAAAACCTACGGTTTATTAGGCCAATCCCGTAACATATCCATGTCCTAAATCACAGCTTTTCCTTTAATTACACCCTAAGGCATTAGAGTTACTCACTATTCAATATTCGATCCCTTCAGGGTCATACATATAACAATTCGTGGTTTTGGCCACGAAGGCCTAAGGTTTCCTAATTCTCATATCTATGCTCAAACAGTCAGGAATACTCATCACTAACCACAACCCTCAGGGCCTCACTATCAATTTCCCTATTTTCCCACAATCAACCAAAAATCCCTTAAATCTTAAATTAACCATAAACACATCGAAAGGCATACGTGGGAAATCATGAAAAGCTATACTCCTCATACCTTAATCGTCGATTCAAAGCTTTCACGATTATCTCCGGCCACAAAACTTCTCATGTTAACACGAATGAATTCTAATTCCCTTCAAAATTCTATTTTGTCAAACCTAGTCTTGGGACTCAAAATTGGGCTTTTCCCATAATATCCTTACTAACTCCTCTTAATGCCCAATTTACCCTTATTTCACTTATATTCATTTTAATCAATAATAATACTAATATTCTCATATAGTATAATATTAATTAAATAAATAATCTAAAAATGCACGATTTCTCAATAATTCACAAAACCACCGAAAATCACTGAAACATGAATATTCTCAATTAAATTAATTAATTAAAATATTCCAAGTAAATTTGGGGTGTTACAACTATTCCCTACGTAGGGTTCCCGTATTTAATAGATATCCCTAAGTATTTATCCCTAGAAATAGTTCGTTGTATATGGGAATATTTATGAAAGGAATATACATATGTAGGGGATACCAGATGGAATCAGCTGAATAGGTATCCCGAACTACGTTTGCTTTGATTTCTCATACCAGATGAGAATACGTAGGCACAAGACAGCGAAGTCTTGGCGAGCACCCCTTTTCCTCTTTCCGTAGTTCCCCAAACTACGTTTGCTCTGGTTTCTCATACTAGATGAGAATACGTAGGCACAAGACGACGATGTCTTGGCGAGCACACTTTTCCTCTTTCCGTAGTTTCTCGAACTACGTTTGCTCTGATTTCTCATACCAGATGAGAATACGTAGGCACAAGACGGCAAAGTCTTGGTGAGCATCCCTTTTCCTCTTTCCGTAGTTCCCTGAACTACATTTGCTCTGATTTCTCATACCAGATGAGGATACGTAGGCACAAGACGGTGATGTCTTGGCGATCACACTTTTCCATCCTTTTCCCGTAGTTGGCCGAACTACGGCTGCCCTGATTCCTTATTCCCCAATAAGGATACGTAGGCACGGGGATCTCTATCCTTGACGAGCACATTAACAACTAACTTCCCCTTTCTCTTGCCCCAGTGAAATTGAGACCAACTTGTTATTCAAACCTTTTCTCTCGCCCCACTGCGATCGAGACCTTTTTCTGTAGTTTCCCGAACTACGTTGACTCTGACTTTCTCATATCTATTGAGAATACGTAGGCCTAGGACCGCGAGGTCCTACCGAGTCTTTTCTTCCCTTTATCTCTCTTTTCCCTGTTTCCAACTCTTTCTTTATCCCTAGGAACACTCTTTATAACAATAACCTTTAGCATATATCTTCACACATAGACAAACAATGGTTCCCATCGAGTACGATGGATGCGAGGGGTGCTTATACCTTCCCTTCGCATAACCAGCTTCCGAACCCGTTCTTGGTTGCGAGACCATCTTATCTGTTTCTTTCTTAGGGCTTTCTCGATGTTTTCCCTTCCCCTCATGGGATAAATAAAGTTTGAAGGCGACTCTTCTGTCTTTTCATTCTCGCATTTACGTCGTTGCATTTTTTCGAGTAGCGACACCATATACTACTAAATAGTAACTTCTGAGAAAAAACTTAAAAAAACATAAAAGGTATAATACACTCTGTGCATAACTAACATGCATAACTGTTGGTTTAACCCGCGTATAACACACTCTGTGCATAATACTATTATACCAGAAAACCAAATCTTAATATTGTTATACTAGGAAAAACAAAATCAATGTTACCATAAAAAATATGATTTATTACTTAAATTTGCTACACCCAAATTGCAACTTGAAATATTAATGTTATTAAATGGAAGCAGAAAATATATTGCAAGTTTGAAACGACATCAGATTTGAAACATAAGACTCGTTTTCTGATTTGAAATATGCAACCCTGCAACTTGCGCCAAATTCATGAATCACAACTAATGCCATTTTCTCCAAACACGCAATTGCCGCTTATTTCCTCAAACATATTCCCCAAACACAGTCATTTTCAAAATTACGTTTTTTTCATGTTCCGAAATCATGTTCCCTGAACGCTGTTGTTGCCGTCATTTGTAAGATCTGTAGGTTTGAGTAATGGAATTGAAGATGGGTTTGTAAGGAAAATATGAAGCTTTGGAATCACATTTGTGAGAAAAATGGAAACAGATTGAAAAATAGAAATTGGTGTAAATGTTTTAATCTTCATTAAAATAAATAAATTATTGAGAATGTAAAATTTAAAAGAAGTGGAATAGTTTATTTGAGAGAAAAGTTCTAAGCATATAAATATTATTTGTAACTCATAATGAACAATAACATTTATTTAAAATGGAAGTTTCAATGTGACGGTTGATGTTGAGAAGTTATCCATCTTTTCATGAGTCACATGACTTAAGGGCATTGTTGGAAAGAAAAATAAGTCAGACCAAAATCTCATATCCCCTTTATATAGTTACCGGTGTCCAGCGTGTCCGTCTGTCCGTTTTTTTAATGCGCATGAATGAAAATATAAACAATATTTTTTGTTAATAAAAATTTTAAAAAATACAAATGTGAAAGTTAATAATAAAAAATTATGTAAAAGTTAATAATAAAAAATTATTAAATAAATTACACATCAAATTCGATATTGTGGAGGGTTACCATAATATACCCTAATATACCCTACACGAGTATATCACTATATATACCCACTATATATATCCATAATAGAATATTCCATATATGTGTTATGGGAATATCTAGGTATCATGTTCCCCACTATTACTCATGATATCTTTATCCATTAATACCCATAACATAATAATACTCATGGTTTTAAGTGGTATATATTCTTATTATGCAGGTATAAGTATTATACGTGCAAATACATTGGTATTCCAAATGATATATCTACCGTTTATATCCCCACTGCAATAGTTCGGGATAGAAGACGGGAATATACATACTAGGTATAGTTCGGGAATAAGTTATGGGAATAGTATTATTAATTATTTCCCCTAAGTGCTTCCATATACAAGGCATTCACATATACAACATAGGAATTACCCAATTGATGTATATCCCATAATAGGTATCCATAATGGCTCGGATATATAAAGATTTCAGTTAATTGATGTATCCAATTGATGTCTAATAGATCTATTGGATAAAGTACACAGCAGCCCGAGAGACATAACTAAATTCTCTCTTAGTAATCAATTGTATGTATTTTCAAAAACAATAAAAATATCAAAATAATTATTTTAAAAAAAATACATTATCTCTAACTAGCATTTCATTTTCTTTCAAACATAAAGGTCCATTCAAAAGTCTCCTATATTCTTATTAACAGATTATATAAACACATTTAAAAAAAAAAAAATAGCTTAAAGTAAATGACCCTGAATAAAGTAACAAAGATTTAAACCATTACTCCTTTCACCTTGTGAGTGGTGAAACATACATTTTGGCCTGTAAGGAAGTTACTAATTATGAGTAACATACACAGCAGCAGCGCAAAACTTAATGGTGTTTTTACATATACAATGTTCCCAAAACTTAATGGTGTTTTTACATATACAATGTTCCCAAAGGATACGTTATGAACCTCTAGGAGATGGTTATTAACATGCAGCTTATAACGGACAACATTTAATCCAATAGATTAGATAGATTTTACAACATGCATCATATAAAATTCACACAATAACTCTGATCACAAAATACTTGCATCTTACATGACAAAGCCAGCACAAGACACACACCAACACTGATGAAGCAAATATTTTCAAATTTGTTTGCAGCACTGCACAACATTAACAAGTGAAATTCTATAAAGCCTTAAATCATGGCGATATAAGAGAAATATCTGCTTTTGTCTATTTTGAAAGTTTAAAGTACAGAATCACGCCGATAATAAGAACCAAGACCACAACAATGGTGCTAATAATACACTTGTTCTTGTTCATCCTCTTAGACATGTTCGACAAAATTTTCTTGCTCTTGCCTATGTTATCGTCCACTCCGTGAAGCTGCATAAGGGGATATGACCCATCAGTAGACTGATTTTTTTTCCTTCACACGAGTTGTTATATTTTCATGTATATAAAGTTAAATTCCTAAAAGCATCTTGTATTCTTGTTAGATGTTACTAATAGAAACACAAGTAAATCATAAGTTAAAGAGAAAAGCATTACTGTGTCATGTGCATGCAGTAAAGATTGTCGCTGAGAATGCAAGTCTGAAAGGATCGATACTCCAAGCTCCTCTGTTTCCAACATTGTTCTTCTACTGTCTTTAATTCTGTCACCAGACTTGTTCAACCTCTCAGTTGAAAACATTAATCTGTCTCTTTGATCAGCTGATACCTATTTTTATCATCTTAGCAATTAGCACATCGCGCCCGATTTAGTGGGAAAAATCCAAGAAAAATGAGGGTTCAGAAATGTAGATTAAAGCCCCTCAATCAGTTTAAAATATCACGAATCAGATGGTAGAAATCTCATTTGCTACAGCAGGGCTCAAATATAAATATACCAGAAAAGGATTGTATAAAAAAATAAGGGAATGAAGGATCAGGTTTTTGGCTCGTCATGGTTTCACAGAACAATGAGTGATGTCCTTGAACAACATCAAAGAATGTCAAATTAAAAATTAATCATACCGTCAAAGCATCTGCCATGCCTGATTCCAACAAAATATCCCGTGCAGAGGGGTTCATGTTACCAGATACATGCTTCTTAAGTTCGCTTTTAATATTGTTCAGATCTGATTTGTATTCCCGCAACTTAGCAAGAAGCACACCCTTAATGTTTGGCTGCAAACTTCTTGCCTCAAGATCCATTTTCCGTATCTACAAATCGGTAAGCACAAATATATCAGAATCCCATACCAGAAGAAAATAAGCTTTCAAACAAAAAGAAAAAGAGCGAATTAGGTACCAAAGCTTCTGCTTCATCAATTCCAGCTTTTATTTCTGAAAGTTTTTGCTTCTTTTGCTCTGCAGATTGAACAAAAAAACGCAAATCATAAAAAATATGTGCACGTGTGTACAGCTTCAACATGATATGATACGCATAGGTGATTCTTCTTTTCTTGATATACATCTTAATGGTTTGTGTTTCTAGTCATGAAATTATATTTAGAGCTTAGCATTCTATGAAGAATATTGTAACATCTATAAGATCAGAAAAGTAAACTTCGCACAAAATTCAGTTTCTCCTTCAACTCAGAGCAACTCTAGAACTACTATAGAAAACATTAGAGGTTTCAAGTGTAAGACAATCGCAGATAATAGTTGTTTGTTCAAATTCTGCTGAGCTACAGTGCAATTGTCATTATTTGACAACACCTTATATTCAGTTGCATATTGCAGGACAATATCAGTTTGTTAAAATTCCACTAAGCTACACCTGCTATATCCAGCACTGATTGCCTCTTGTGCCAACTTTATACGTATTTTACTATAGACATCAAGCAGGTGTAGCTTAGTGATGATATAGAACTATAACAAAGTGGAATTTGAACAAACCGTTATTTTCTGCAATTAATGATGTAGCTATTAGCACTTCTCTCTTGGTGTATGACACTTAATGTTTACACTAACTAAACCATAGATCAAAATTAAATTAAGCTCATAAGCAAATTATTATATTTTAAATACAAAATAACCTATAACCAAAACAAACATGCTTCCTCCTAGTTTAGAAAAATGTGTATATTTAGTTTAGCTATTGGAAGAGGCAAAAACAATTCTAATTCTAGAGGAGTAAAATTGATTCTAGAATAATTTTGAAATTTTTGATTTTTCTAAAATAGAATTGATTGTGTCACCATAATTGATTTTACTTGAAAGCTACAATTTGTAGCTTTTAAATTTAAACATGATATTTACATCGATATTTGTTGTTAAACTCAATTTTACATAAAAGTATCCAAATATAAATCACTTTACAATTCACATCCAATCACTTTTAATAAAAATCAATTTAATCAGAATCAATTCTCCTAACAACATAACCAAACACCAATAACAAAGATCACATCCACCAATAAAATTTTCAAAATACCACAAAAAAAAATGAAAAGAGTGAAATTAAGAAGATTTCAGCTACCTACCTCCATTAAGAGCACCAGCTGCAGTGCAAATTTTGGATAGATTAGCAGAAAGCTCGCAGTATTGGCGCTCATATCCCTCAAACACGGTACTCATAGTCTCCAGAAGAAATTTCTACGTTCTCTGTTCAATTCACAATCAACAACAAAATTTCAACGCCTTTCAAATCTATAACAATAATAATTACCGAATTCATAAAATAGAAATAGAAACAGAAATAGAACCTTGTGATTGAAAATCAGCTATTAAAGAAGACCTAATTCGTTGAAACAATAAGGATCGGTAACGAGGAATGGTTTAAGCGTGAAATTGAGCGTGTAGAGGTGGTTTGAGGATCGGAGATGATGCCGGCGTTGTAACCGCCGGGAAGCTTAAACGGAGAACAGCGAAGGAATTGGATTTATATTGAAAAGAACCAAAACGACAGCGTTGGGAGAAAGTGCACGAAGACGGTGACGATGATATTGATTGATTATAATTGCATATACTCTCCGTTTCGTTAAAGCATATTCTCGTTACACGTTTTTTCTATCGAGAATGCGCACGTGCAAGGCACGTGTGTAAATGTTCACACACATTTTTGTTATTATCTATTATCAATAACATAATATTAAAGCAAAAATATGTTTTCCATGCCACTTATTTTCATTTTAATATTTTTATTTAAAAAGTTTTTAAAACTTACTACAATAATTAATTAATTTTTTTTGACAAAAATATAACTACGATTGCGGATTAACAAGTGCACTAATTCATACAATTGATAAAATCGATCATTAAATGAAATATAAATAAGATTAAGCATCTATCATTTCATTTTAATCATTTTTTGTTGGGTCCCACCCAATTGATATTCATCGTGTTCATGTTAACGAACAAATTAACTCCTTCATGCCATTCACTCTATCATTCAATTTTTCCCTCAACTCTTCTCAACCATGCTAATGCCTTCATCATCACCAGGTTCGGAACCATTCAATCTCCATCGTTTTCTCGTTTTCCTTTCAATTCGTTTAATCAAATCCACCAATTCACTCACGCTAATTGAGATTCGTGAAGTAACGTACTCTTGCATGCCAAATTCGAAACTCGATTTGGATTTTTTTTTTAATGTGTGTGGATCCGTTGTATGATCTATATTGTCAATGTGTATGATCAAAACAATTGAAATTTGAAACTGAAAGTGCTTTTTATTATTGCTATTCGATGATAATAATAGTGACGGGTTAACACCTATTGTTATTCGATGATAATAATAGTAATGATAATATTAAAGAGAGTGTTGGGTTAACACCTATAGAAGAAAAGTTGGTGGAAAATAGATGTAGGTGGTTTGAACATGTAGAGAGAAGAATTGTAGATTTTGTGGTAAGGAGACTAGATTAAATGAAGAGAAGTCAAATAATTAGAGATAGAGGAAAACGTAGAAATTTTTTAAGAGAAGTTATTAAGAAAGATCTAGAGATTAACGATTTGGATAGAAACATGGTCCTGGATAGAACATTATGGCGAAAGTTGATCCATGTAGCCGATGTCAGTAAGTGAGATAAGGATTGATTGTTGTTGTTGTTCTTGCACATGAACAGATTCTCAGAAATCCACAGAATAGTTTTTGGTGATTTTATGACATTATATAAAGTGTCATTAATGATTATTTTTACAGTTATCGATGACATTTAAACTCCCATTGAATTTACAAAATCAAATGATACTGAACTGACAACTTATGAACTAATGACATAATTACTTTTAAAATGGAATATGAATTAGCAATAGTTCTTATATCATATACGGTAATCAGTACATGAGTTCTGTCATAGATAGTGTATTATTCATATTCAACTACTCATATTTATGTTAATTTGATTTCAGGACTGTAGTGTTGTCAGGCATACAAAGTTGATTTGCTGGTTTTGTTGAACCAGATTTAAATAATGATTCTTTCTGCTCTTCTAACTTCAGTTGGAATTAATGTTGGCCTTTGTATTATATTTGTTACCCTTTACTCTATATTGAGGAAGCAGCCTGGTAATATTGTTGTCTATGCACCACGTTTAGTTTCTGGAGGGAAACTCCAAGACGGCGGTGAGTTTAACTTGGAATGTTTGTTACCTAATGCTGGTTGGTTGAGAAGAGCATGGGAGCCTTCTGATGATGAATTTATATCAGCTGCAGGCTTAGATGCTTTTGTCTTCATCCGTATATTTGTCTTTAGGTAATTTGAACTATTTTTCTGATTCTAGGTTTAAAGAAGTGTCATGCCGTTTATTATTAAATCGGTATTGTTAACTTGTGGCTCTAGTGGTGCTACATCATATCGGTATTTGAACAAATCGCAACTGTTTCTGAACAAAACTATGATTTTCTGCGATTTTCCATTGACAACATTGTACTAAATGTTTCCTCATGTTGATGAATATTCCTGCATTACTGGTTACAATATATCTGTACTTCTATAAAATATTTTATGAAGTTAGTTTCTGTTACCTTTTTGTGTGTTGTTTGAAGGGTGCATTTATTTTGTTTAGCCAGTAATTTTCCTTTTTTTGGTGGTATTGTGCAGTTTAAAAGTATTTACTTTTGCTGGAATTGTTGGGACAATCTTTCTTCTTCCGATTAATTATACGGGGACTCAACTTCTCGATGTTTCTGATTGTCCAAACAAGTCCTTGGATTACTTCAGTATTTCAAACGTTAACAATGGTTCACACAGGTGAGTCCTTCCTGAATGAAGAGCATCTTGTGACATGATTATCAAGGATGATTTACCATTGTCATCCATTATTTTGTGAAATACTAATTTATCCCCAAAATATGCAAGTTCATCCTAACGAATGACAATTATACTGTTTGCCGTTTTATTTACACTACTACACATGTGAGTGAAATATTTGTAGTAAGTGTTATTGAAATTTGATTCTTTTTCGTTTAATTTTTATCTTAAGTTATAACATGGGAACTCTGATCGCTAGATTTGGCCTTTATCAAGGTTATGGATTCATTTTTGCGCTGCTTATGTTTTCACCGGGGTTGTTTGCATTCTTCTTTATTTTGTAAGTTATTATTGTTCAAGTTTTTTTGATACACGTGTTCAAATTTTATTGTTTCTGTTAACCTGTATGACAGTGATTGAGTTTCATGGTTGATGTTAATATCATATGCAGGAGTATGAGTACATTGCATCAAAAAGAATTGCTCGCTTCTATTCCTCCAAGCCGGAGCCTCATCAGTTTACTGTATTAGTACGAGGTATTCCTGTTCCTCCTGGATGTACATGTAATGAGGCTGTCGAGCGATTCTTCACGGAGTATCACCCTTCTACTTATCATTCGCACTCAGTTGTCCGTCGAAGCAGCAAACTTCAAATTCTAGTTGTAAGCATTTTTTTTGAGTTCTACTACTAAGCCATTCAATCTTTTCCCCTGATACTTGCTTGATGTTTCATTCTTTTTTAAATCCCGTTTCCTCAGATAAAATCTGAAATTTTTAAGAACACTGCTGTTTTGATAGTTTTTCCACAAACATCTTTGTTTTTTCTTTCTTTTAAGTATATTATATATCATTTATTTTCTCTAAGGGTTCTCTTTTTGGAGCTAGAGGGATGGTGTTGGGTCTCTGGATTTGAATCAGCCATCACATATCTTTGTGAAGCTTTGAACATTTTATTAGAAATATAAAATTTAACCTTCAATTGTTTCTTTCAATATTTCATATATTGTACTTTTGACAGTGGAAATTTCATTCCTTGTAGACTGATGCAGAGAGACTGTACAAAAGGGTTACCCAACTGAAAAATAAAGATAACTCTCCTCAAAGGCATAGGCGTGATGGATTTTTGGGACTTTTTGGGCATAAGGTTGATCTGTTAGATCATTATGAGAAGACATTGGGAGACATTGCAGATAATGTGCGAATAGAACAGTCTTTCATGGCGGAAGGAAAGGTAAAAATATTTGTAGAACTCCAGGTTCATATAAAATGTCTATTAATTGAGATCAGAGAAAGAAAATATTAATGTGAAAATGTAGAAGAACTCCATTTTCACATCGATTTTTTGGACATTCTGTCCTAAACTAAATATACTTTTTTTATAGTTGATTTGAATATATAATACATCCACTTATTTGAGTACAACTTTTAATTTAAAAGGAAGTTCCAGCTGCGTTTGTCTCATTTAAGTCACGATTTGGTGCTGCAATAGCTTTGCACTTGCTAGAAGGTATCAATCCCATACACTGGATCACAGAACGAGCTCCAGAGCCTCATGATGTTTATTGGCCTTTCTTTTCTGTCACTTTCATTAGAAGATGGATCAGCAAGATGGTGGCTTATGTTGCATGCAATGCTATTACAATTCTATTTTTAGTCCCAGTTGCACTAGTTCAAGGTCTTACCCATCTCGATCAACTGGAAAGCATGTTCCCCGCTCTGAGAAGCATTCTGAGACTGTAAGTTGAAAATATTAATGTTTTTGCCTTTCTATACTTAAGCTTGCGGAAGATGCAGACTAATATGTAGAGTTTAGTAATTATACTCTGGATCTGTAAACACGTTTTTTCAGTCGTCCAATCAAATCTCACTGTAACATAATGTTACTTTTAAAAACCTATTTACAGTCTAGAAAGAGATGTTTAAATATGATTGGACGTTTAGGTAAGATTTATTTACTCTGGTAGTGTATAAATGTTAAACTGTAATTTAGAAACTTACATGCATTGGCATTACATGAGAAGTTAGAACTATTTTTCGGTCCAAATATAAGTGTAATATTAGAATTTTCTGCCTGTTCTTTTTTCGGAAAGACATATTTGTCTCCGTGGACTCATAAGCCTGGTATTTCCATGGATTTGCAAAAGAAGTAATGCTTTCCATTATATATTTGCAGGGCAGTTGTGAGCCAAGTTATAACAGGATACCTATCCATTCTGATTCTTCAGGTGTTTCTGTCCTTTGTGCCGGCTCTTATGATTATGCTCTCATCCTTGCAAGGATACATTTCATGGAGTCAGATTCAAAAAAGTGCATGCACTAAAGTATTATGGTTCACCATCTGGAACATTTTCTTCGCAAACGTTCTATCAGGGTCAGCTCTCTAC